GCTCTTTGCGCGCCCATTTCCCCTTTTTTGATCATCTGAATCTTGGACCCGTCTTGCGCTACTTCTCGCGCCTTTTTTTTTCTCGCCCTTCGAGCGAAGCTTGTGAAGTCTGGTCGATCCTTCAATTACTCTCGCCCACCAATCAGACGCGAGGTACGGTAGGATCTGCCTATTGCGCGATGAGTCTGATTGGCCAATCGCTGAGTCCCGAAGGATCAACATGGCTTCTATAGCGCGCTTCTCTTCAAGTCTTCTCCTCCTGCTTCTCTTCTTACACTTCGACTTTCCCCCTGCATTCTCTCTCCCTTGTCTCCTTCCCCGCCACTATAAATTTCGCAAACGCGCCCACAAATCTCTCTTACGTTCTCGACTTCTGAGCCAGCTTCCGGGAAGCAGTGGCTAGGCAGAGTGTTTGGTGCGAGTCAGAAAGTCCTGTCGGGTTGTCGATAGGCTGGCCGGTTGCGCGCTTGATCGCCACGACGGGCTGTGGGATCTGGGCGAACCGAGTCGAGTTTACGTTAGCGGGGTGACAATCGCAGTGATGGGAGTTAGCACGCGGCGGCCGGGATCGTCGGTGAGGGTATGAGGACCGATTGATTGGAGTTGAGTGAGTGAATGGCCCGGGGCCATATTGGAATGAACGGCGAATGCGCCTTTTGTTGTTGCGGATCTTTGTCTCCGGCGTGAGTGTACGGCGGCAACGCCGAACTTCCTCTTTTTGGATTTTGTCATCCTCTATCTCGACATTCCTCCCTCGTCTCCCTTTCTCTCCTCTATCTTTGAATGATAATGTGTCTCGATGTTTGTATTTCTCTCTCTCTTTCGGATGGGAATGAATGTGTATGCTTTCCTGTGTGAAAGAACTTCTTCCGGAACTCTTCCATTCGTTTCCCGGGTAATCCCTAGATGTCGAGGAATTGATCCTCTTGTCTTGTGAACGGTGGATGCGTGTGTACAATTCCCTCGGTTGATTTCTGACTTGTATACCTCTGTCATTTTCGCACCTTCCACAGTGAATGTATATATGGAGATGCTTACCTTTTTTGTATTGATTAGACGCCCTAGGAGGGACTTTGTCCGAGAATGCAAGAGTGTTTAGATCTGTAGTTCTGAATGCGCTGCGCATGCCATCTGCCTTATGTTGCATGACATCTGCAACCAATCTACAGGGAAGCCTCGAGAAACCAGGCGCCCGGGGATCAACGCCGCGGTGGCTTACGAAACCTGAGTTCTGGGCCGGTCCCTCAGTTACCTGCGTGATCCTGTTGACGAGTGTTTTCTCTCCCTCTCGTGATTGAAAATGATTGATTGGTGGTTGCGCGAGTGTTTCTTGTTTTTTTTCTTGATGACGTCTCAGAGTTTTTGCAATTGATTGACATGTGGACTGACAAGCACCCTTCGATCGGGCGTCATCCTCCCGTACCAACACGACTTTTTCCTTACAACGAGGAAATGACACGTGTATGCGAGTGGGACGTACGAGAAGCTGTTGCACAGATCGGCGGACGATACTACTTCCCTCCGGCAAACCGTTGTTCGGGATTCGTAGAGGTTGGGTTTGTTATTATCGACACACACTTTCCGCCCTACTCAATATTGCTCCCCTTTAACGAGCTGATCGTCATCCCGTGGACGGCAGTGGCGCCCCATTGGCCTCGAACCCTGTGCATAGAGTCTCAGCGTTTCGATCGCTACGAAGCAAAGGGTTTCCGCTACCGAATAGGGATTTAAGACGAGCATAAGAAAAGAGTCACGCGACTGAGACCCTCCACATCAAACTCAGAATTGACCAGCGAGCGACGACGGGATTTGATACGAAAACGAGACACGTGAAGCGTGTCAAAGCCCTTCCGCTCTAAACGATGGGCCGTAGCACGGTGGGAAGCTCGACAATACTCTTTGGATTGAATTTGGATTTTTTCCTTTTCGTGCCGTGCTCGCGCGCGCATTCCACGACGTGCGAAAGCAACCGACTTACTTCATCGGACCAACACGGGGGATTTCAGTTCTGTCTGTGTCCCCACACTCAATTTCCAAAAATCCTTGGCACACCCCATCTTGCTGTTTTTTTCGGCCTCTTTCCGCACATCTAGCACTTTGAACGAAAGATAGCATAGGGCGTGAGGTTGCGCATCACAACCGCTCGGCTTGCATTCACTGCGGTTGGGCACGACAGTTGCCACCCACTGGGCTGAAATTCTTGAAGCGAACCCCATGCCGCCACGTGGATTTTTGAACGATGTCAATATAATAACTCTTACAATGACATGTGTGTGAGAGCGAACACACAAAAGAATCAGCTATAACATCACACAGTCAAATCACGTGCAATATCGGTTAAACACCAAACCAAGCTTCGACACCAATCATCCATAGAAAAAAACGGTGGGGCTTCATAAGTCTTACCTACCAGATCAGAAACGGGATTCAATCCTGTCATAATCCGATAATTTTCCTTGAATTTTTCACAAGACCTTTGCCGAAGTAACAGTCAGGATACCAGCAATACCAAAGCTCATACTTCAGCAAAAAAAGGAAGACCAACTATGTCCCAAATAATTGCAAAGTTGGCATTCGTAGTAGGAAGAAGAACCAATTGGGACAAAGTCGCGACAAATGGCCCGGTTGACGGTAAAAAAAACGAATAGAAGAAAAAGTCAGTTAGAACACCACAAAGTCAAATCAAGCATAATATCGGTTAAACACAAAGTCAAGCTTCAAAACTCTCCATTCATAGAGGGAAAAAAAAAAAAAAAAATGGTGGGACTTCACAAGTTTTTCGCACGGGGTAAGAAACGGGATTCAATCTTGCCATAATCCGACAAATTTTCTTGAAAATTTAAGAAGAGCATTATCGAAAAAGTAGTCAGAGTACCCGCAATACCAAAACTCATACTTCAGCAAAAAAAAAAGAAGGCAAATTTTATCTTATGTAATCACAAAGTTAGTATTTATAACAAGAAGATAAATCAATTCAAACCAAACCGCACAAAATGGTGCGGTTAACCGCAAACAAAGCGGGTACACATCATAGTCGAAGAAA